CTATGATTTAGACATGATCCATTAAATGGATCATACAGAAATCATAGATGACAAATAAGGAAGTATGATCCTGATGTGGTTTGTTTCTGGGCTATGAGTCTGCTATGATTTTATAGTGATTCTGGCATGTGCCATTAACTTAGAAAACAATTTAAAGGAACATGAGTTTGAAATGATTCCTTAACTTTAACTGCAAAAAGTTTGTGATTTTGATATGGTTTCTTAACTTTGTCTTTAAACTCCATACGAGTTACAAATGATCTGTTAACTTCTCTGTTGAGAATCATGAGTTTGGTATGATTTGTTAACTTTGTCAGAATTGGTTGTATGATCCTGATATGGTTTGTTGACTTTGTCATCTTTGATAGGTGAAAATGCAAGCTTCAAATTCACTCTAGCTTGGAGAATTAAACAACATGCATACATCAATATTATAATAGCCATATTTAAAAGAGAACAGGAAAATTAAGTTTTAATTAAATGCATACAGCATATACATGTAGGTACAAACAAAATCTTTTTAAAGTTGAATGAAATAACAAATAAATAAATTCAATAACTTGAAAATAAATTAGCACACAAGTATACTGTTCAAATAACACAGCCAGGATTTAAAAAAAAAATTCTCTTCATATGATATTTGCGATCCACTCCCAATCTAACACTGAGTCATTGAATTAGGATTTGCTTACTGGTCAGTTTCAGAGTCATAGTAACCTTGTTATGCAATTCTCCTGCTGGTCAGCACGTTGTAGTGTGTAGTGGTTTGCAGCTTATCTAGGTCAACATTTGAATTCTGATAAACAAGATGTGCGCGTTTTCTTGTTGCCGATTTAAAAGAAAAGACTTTGCATCATATGAGCAACAAAAATAGGTGCTGGACTATTAACTCTACTCGGTGAGTATAATTCATTAATTTTATTATTGATCTTTTTTAAAATTTCTATCTTCTACCAGAATATGATTTAATTTTCTTTGTATGAAGGATATGGAAATAACGAACAGTATTCAATCAATCTCAACGTCCATTAAACAATATACAAAATAAGAGCAGAGCAAACACGGACCTCTGAAACATCTGTATATCTGTATATAATGTGTAGAAGAGACACGATCACCAAAGCTTTACATCCATGGATTCGAATTGAAAACTTGATTTTAGCTTCAAATTTACCTCCTTGATTCAAATATTTGTTGTTCATGTGTAATGTTAATCGTTATATAAAATGTGTATTCATAAAAAATGCTATTCCTTTGCAGCTACTGTCAGGTCCATCTTCATGATCAACATCTGAGTTAAATTTCATTCAAAATGCCACATTCGAAATTTAAGACCCGCTTTTGGTGAAGACAAAATCTGAGTACGTAAATAATATTACCTTTCAACAATATTATTCTTGTGGCTATTAATCTAATTCTTTTAATTAATGAACATGATGAAATGTGGAAAGTACTTGAATATTCATATTTTCAGATATAATTATATGTTGATCGATGAATAAACACCATTTTCTCTGCGTTTCTTTTCAGGGTGCTACACAAATAAAGAGCTTATATCAGAGGATAGAATTTGGAGCCTTTTCAGTGTTTGTATGTTTCAGTCTCTGCTGATTCTATAGTGAACAAATGTTAGAATTACATGCTTTTGCAGAATCATAGATAAGCAGTGACATCAATGAATGCCGAATCATTCTTAAAGAAGAAAGGATTTCTGTGATTCTGTTCGTATAAAATTCTGTGAATAGTCTGGATGTTTTATTTATAAATTGTCATCTGATTAATGAAGATCATTTGTTCGGATTATATTTACATGACGTCATAGTTCAAGTGACATCATGGACATATGTGTATATATTTCTTTTAATTTTGGTAACTGAAATTATACATCAAATATTAAAGGGATAATTATTGCAAATATCAAAGTGTTTAGTTAAACTGTATAAGAAGTATAATTTTCCTATGAGTTGTACTAGCTTTAACAGATCATACCAGGTTCATGGTTTTAATACGAGTTGTTAGCTACAACAGATCACACCAGGATCATGGTTTTAATACGAGTTGTTAGCTACAACAGATCATACCAGGATCATGGTTTTAATACGAGTTGTAAGCTACAACAGATCATACCAGGATCATGGTTTTAATACGAGTTGTTAGCTACAACAGATCATACCAGGATCATGGTTTTAATACGAGTTGTTAGCTTCAACAGATCATACCAGGATCATGGTTTTAATACGAGTTGTTAGCTACAACAGATCATACCAGGATCATGGTTTTCTTGCTAGTTGTTTAGTTTAACAGATCATCTAAGAACCATGATCCATTAGCTCATTTGCATGTGAAATTTTCCTATACCGAAATCATATCAAAACCATGATTTACACACGAGTCATTAGCATGATCCCTTAGGCTGTTTTTTCTGTATGGGTTTGTATTTCATCTGGCTTGTATTTTTAGTACTCATTATCCTTAAACTTACTTCAAACAAAATTTCATTAGTATCAACTTGTAGATGAAAAATGTTGAAACAGTTTGTTGTCCCAAAGGAAATTCTCTTCCAGTTAATGTATTATCAGTGTCACGAGTGGTTTATTGATGTCAGTTCCATCGGCCTTCCCGGTGTTTGTAGCAGAATGGTGCAAACTGCAAAATGAAACACTTTTCATGAGAACCTGGAAAAACATAAGGTGGAAGTGATCAGCTGCATGTGAACAAGAAAAAAGTGAATACTTTCTTGATTACTAGCATTAAAATGATGCAGTAAAACTTGGTTATGAAAAAGTCACTGAGGCCTATGAAATTACTTCGCTAAATTATAATTCGTTATAACCATTAAAAGATTTTTTAAATTTATATAGCATGAGATACAAGATAACTTAGATATCTATGAATTCGCAATACATGTATCTGTGTTCTACTAAATGAGTTTAACTGTATAAACTTAATATGCGTGTGTACATGTACATCATTTACATAGAAAACTAAATACACATGTAATTGTAACTACCGAATATACAAATTAAACCATGACTGCCTTAAATTCGTTCTGAAGTGTATATATAGTGTATAAAAATAAGCATGCAATATTGGTCTTGTTATACTGAAGAATTTTTAAGAAAAGGTTATTCCTTGTAACAAGTGTTCAAACATACAGCACAGTTAGCAATTTTTATGCAGAACTTAAATGTTAAATGTGTATTTCAGTCATTGGGATGAATGCACACAGGGGAGAAAAGTACTTGTTCGCAAATGTTAGACTAAAGTAAAAGTTTTTAATTATTCCTCTAAAAAGTAACCTGGAAGCGGAAAAAAAACGTGTAAAGACAGGCAAAGTAGTTCCGGCTACTTAGTGCAAGCGAACTCCAGATTTTATTAATGCAATTATCAAAATAATTTTTTACCCAATCAGAATCAAGTTTTTTTTTTTATAAATGATTAAATGATTGTATTATCGAAACCCTAAAGTCACCAAGCTTGTGTACCAAATTAGAGCAGAGAGTTTCTGTCAGTATTAGGGTGAAAATACGAGTAGGATAGCCTGTCGTTTAAAAAAATTGGTTTTAGTGACAATGACTTGAAAATACTTTGTTTGGTTGAAAAGTTAAAAGCAAATCGCACATCAAAATGTTGTTGTCTTTTTATTCACTTATGCAACTCAGCTACTAGACACCATGTTACTTCCGTCAGCTACACCATGATTGCAAGAAATTTATACTGACTGCAAATATCGGAAAATAATGTTTATAACTCTTGTGCATCTCTTGGCACTACAAAATGTGATCACGAAATTGTCATCATCGACATGCACGTGTATTTGGCTTTTTATCACTTTCCCTACGTGGCACCATACAGTTCATGGTTGAGTAAGTAATTTTGACCAGCGATTTTAGTGCACAGTAAATTACACATCTGACTAATTTTCATAATTTTCGGCCACATAGTAAAATATTTCTCGCTATTATGCTATTATGCGTTTCTTTTTTCTTTTCAGTATATATGTGCAGCAAATCAAACAATATGTTTTTGAAGAATATCATATCTTTTATTTGAAATGTTTGGCTGTATACATGTACAATGATGTAATCATATAAATATTTTATTTGAAGAGAATGGCAACAAAAATGTCCGCAAAATGTTAAATCACATTGATATCATAATGACAATTGATGCGTGCAAAGTTCAAAGATCTACAGTATTTATATTAAACATATGTCCTATGTACAAGAATTAATATTATAGCTAATTATATTTAAATCACCATGCAGTATTGAATATTTATGCATTTGAATCAATTTTACGGATTCATAGAAACAAGCATACTGGTATATTAAAAAAATTCTTTAACGCCTCATATAAAATGACAAATATTAATTGATGACTAATATGACGAATATTTAAAATATATATTTTACGTTAACTTAATAAGGTTTAGTATAAGTAAACTTGCAAATCCATCTAAATAAGAAATAAGACAGCATAAGAATGTTAAATGCCCTTTTCTTTGGTACTAAAATATACTGAAACAAGGGATCGTACTTTCAAAATGATTTTAAAACACACACATTCAAAGATGGACATTCAATTTACATCCATATCCCTATATGGTATTCTAAATGGATGATTTAGACCATATCTAATGAGTGCGAGATTAAAAATATTCACCGTCACCTTCAGTGAGACTGTGCAACATTCAAAAGGAATGGATGACCCTTTCAATAAGCATATTGTTCAAGTGCTGCAAAGTGTCATGTTAATAATCATTTGAACATTTGCTACATGTATGATGTGTTAATTCAGAAAAAGGGATATATAAAAAAAATTTGAGCATCACTTATATTTGGAACCAACATTTATAATGAATAAAAAAATCTCTTTGTAGAAGAACAATACGTTAAACAAAATTATTCTGTTGAGTGGTAACAGTTTTGCATAAATAAAATTTTGGATGTTACTTATCGATCATTTTTAGCAAAGCTGTATGGCCAATAATCCCCTTAGTTGGTTTTAATCCAGTTGTATTTCGACGTTTTTTAAATTTTCTGCACGCTCTCGAATGTTTGAAATTTTTGCACTCAAGGAAAGCAATACTTTCTCTTCTTCCTTATAAAATTCAATCTTGCTCTTTGTTGTTTCAACGCTGTTCGACAAATCATCGATTTCTCTTTTCAAATCTCCCTCAAGAAAACTTTTGATGATGTCTTTAAATCTTTTCTCATATGTTTTACGCAATTTTTTCTTTATCTTTGGCTGCGTTAATTTATCAATTCTAGCTTTGTAAGCATTCTTTACAACTTCTTCATAGTCATCAAGGACGTCCAGTGCCACTAATCCTGTAACTACTAGTCCAGTCACAACTCCTGCTGCCGCGACAGCTTGTGCAGCCTTAGGACTAACAGACATATACATCATCGCCATGCTTCCAGCGACTGCCGTACCACTTGGAGCTATCAAGGAAATGAGGACAGAGCCAAGTTTGTCTTCAACGTCAAAGGGAGACTTAAATCCTTTCATTTTGTCCTTAATATTGTGTAAAGACTCTTGAATAAGGATAAAGTTTTCTGTAAGTCTTTCCAATATCTCGCTTGAAAACATCTTTTGAATGTTTTCTTGCTGCCAAGAAAGAGTTTCCTTTTCTATGCGAGCGTCGAGTTCTCCTCCTATTGTAAAGCGCGAGTACTTCTCAATATCTTGTAGAACTCTCGACCTGAAGTTTTCACTGTGTATATATTGATATAGAGCTTTTGCAGTGCCTCCAAGAAAATTGTCAACACTTTCATGAAGTCTTGAAAGTGCCTAGAAAGATACGATAATTAGAAAAAAGGTCATATACTGCCTTTTTTATATTTACAATGAACATTGTTAAACAAATACGAAACTCAGATTTTTTTTATATTAAAAAATTATTAGAGACATACACGACAAATGGTCGTGTTATATGATTAAAAACAAAATTTATCAAAAAATATTTTTAGATGTGTTTTTGTCAAACAACTATAAACTAAAGCATTTATCATTAGTTAATAATTACCTCCTGTCTTTTATTTTTATTACTTGCAAATCTCTCCAAAACTGATCTAGTTCCTGAAATGTTTTCTCTGTACTTTGCTTTGCACATTTCAGCTTATGTGAAAGAATTAAATCACAGTCATCAGCAAAAGATTTTATAAATCTGCAATATATATAGCATAAAGGGAAATTAATCAAAAATATAAGAAAGGTATCCACATGCACAAAGAGTTATTCAAAAGTTTATGACCTACCATAAAATGAAAACAGCTTCCGGTACATCAATGCAATTTTGAATAATAAATAAACATAATTGTTTTTTGTTTCTTTTTTCAAAGGGTCGAGTTATTTTTTCCAGCCTCCCATCAGCCTCTGTCCCATATAATCGTAATATGTTTGAAAATTTGATTATACAATTTAATCTTGTTTTAACAAATTCCATAACTTTTATTAACAAATTTCATTCGTTTTAACAAATTCTTTAATTTGTTATAATTGAATGCGTTTAAAGAAAGTCGATAAATTGTTAGATCAAATCCATATTTATTTTCCTATTGGCCCTGATTGTTGAATTTATTTAAGCGAATTTATTTTGTTAAAGCAGATCTTATAATTCGTTCAAAAGGAATTTAATTTGTTAAAATTAGTTTTAGAATTTGTTTGAACAAATTGAATTCGTAATAACAATAATTAGTTAAAACGAATTCAAAAAATATATTGTAATAGAATAAAATCGTTTAAATGAAATCAAAGAAATTGCAATAACGAATTAAGTTCATAAAAACAAATTTGACAATTCGTTATATCAAATTCAGAAATATTTTTAATGGGACATCAAGGTGGTTCCCTAGGGAAAGACATGGAGAAAACGAACAGTTTTCAAGATTGAATGTTCAAAAAACAATGAAAAAAAAAAAGCTTAGCAATCACGGACCTCCGAAACATCAGAGATCAGGTGCCATTTAGGGGTAGAACGTGCTTTGGGTCAATTTACGCTCTATAATTAGGAAAGCGGAAAAATTAAAAAAAAACTTATTTGACTAAAACCAGGTTGATTAAATTCGACAAGAATCCCTTAGAATTGAACTTCAACTTCATTTTACAGCTGTCTGTGTTAATATTTGTTGCTTTCTATAAGTTCGATATTGCCGATAAACAGTAAAACCGTAATAATGGAATTGATGGAAAAAGAGTGGAGGGAAAACTGATACATAAACTAAGCAGCTATTTTTTATTATATGAGGTTAGGTTGAATTAAAGTTTGAAGTTAGTAGCTATATTTATTAAATCTTAAATTTTCCATGATTGATTCCCAAAGACTGGAATGAGCAGATTGCACGAATGCTGATTATTTAATATCGGTATTTTGTTGTTTTGGGTGGGATAGTTAATCAGGTTATACAGAAATAATTTGTGTTTTCATTTTCAGATAAAAGTGTATTAAACCATAAAAGACTAGAATATAAACACATCAAAATTATTTCCTTATAACGAAGCGAATTAAAAAAAAAACAATCGCATTGTCATTTACCTCAGATGAACCTTTACTCGCTTGAATTCATTTTTGGCGATGACTTCTTTTAAAATCTCTTGAGATTTTTCAAATTCGATTTTGTAGGTCTCATCCTCATGCACCTGTATAAAATTTTTAGATATTTGAAAAGGCATTACAATTTAATGCGTATTTTTCAGGACCGGTTAAGAACACTGTAAAAGTCGTGCTATTATTAACAATCAAGTTGATGGAACAGGATATCAGCAGTCAGCGCTGAAGTAACTGTGTGTTTTATGGTCGATACATTCATTGAGTTAAATGCTGACAAACACTTATTGTTATGCCATTATTTAAACACTGAATTGAGAACAGATTTTTTCCATTTCTTCCCGATCATGACAAGGAACACATATAGGGTGTATCAAGTTGGCAGGGGATGCTCACTCATCCATGACACCTGATCCTACCTCAATTGTTTAAAGGTCTGTGATTTTCCATGTTTATATTGTTTGATCGATTTTTGAGTTTGATTACTGTTCGATATCTTCATTTATTTCATTTCACTTTTTATTTGGAGGAAAAGTTTATCGATTAATTGTATTTTGCTTTATTTTATATGTAATTGTCTTAAATGATACTGATGTGTTCCGAAATATGTCTCATCATTAAAAGTGGAGTCAATAAAAGAGAGATTCATTGAAACTAAAAAAAGGCATTGCGGACAACGTGGATGTATATAGATCAAGAATCCTGACAAGGAACATGAGACGCGTTACTTTTCCAAATGACAAGGTACTGACACAGAATGCGATTTTACTGCTGTTATTGCTTTCTATTTCCTCTTTTCTTGATTAGGCATCGGTCAAAGATCGTCAATAAGTTTTTACATTTTTTGTATAAAATGATGTCATCACCATACTTCTTTTCAAGATCATCGTTGTCTTATTTACACTTCTTTGGCTTTAATAAGTAATTGTAAAAAAAAAGATATTTGTTCAGAATATATGTATTAGGAAGGTTACAAATGGAATATAATGGGAAATATAATAGAAAATGAAAATGAATTTAACTATACCATCGCTGAGGCGAATTTGAGAATATTTCTGTCCTTCACTCCTTCCCATATCTTGTGAACTTTTTCTTTTAATTCCTCATACAGATCTTTTTTTCGCTTCTTTTTTTGTCGAACTACTGCATCCCATTTGTTGAGTAGAAAAATGGCATCTTCAGGATCTAGGCAATACATGTGACTCATCGATTCTCTGACACGTTTTATGATGTGAAGTAGCTACAAAAGAATAAATTCAGAAATGACGTCTAATCTGATATATATGGCAACGGTAAATGTTTATCTTATATTCACATATCATCATTTTTTAATTCCTTTTATTCTTGAGCTGAGATAAAAAAAAAGTATGTGCCACCTTTTATATGTCTTCAATATTTAAGGAATAACTGTCTTATTTTTCGAATTCATGAATTGATCAATGGATTGGCTTGTGTGATAATAAGGCGTTTATGCATAAAATTATCACATAAGCCAATCCATTGATCATCTTCATGAATTCGAAAAATCTAACAGTTATTCCTTATATTTACATGCTTTGATTCCGCCAATCCACGGGCTCTAAGCCTGCTTCTCTCTAGGTGTTGTTCCGCCTTGCACGTGGTTTTTTTGGAACCGCGCCAAGACATTTATGAGGAAATCAATTACATTTACAATTGGTAATTTAATCTCGGGCAAAGACATTGGAAATGTAAATATTAAGTAATCAATATATATTTTCAAGATGTAGTATACCCTATCATCCTGGAATCCACCTGCGCTGGAAACGTTCACAACAAATATAAAAGCCACTGCATTTGGTAGATACTTCATCATCTTTTCCGCCACATCATCTTGTCCGGTGTCACCTTTTCCTGGTGTATCAACTATGATGATGTTTCCCTAGAGAAAATTGAATTGGATTCATAAATATGAATGGCCAGAGCAGTATTTTTAGATTAATTGTAGTTTGTTTCACAAGTGCATATATTGTCATGTATCGTTTACAAAAAAAATGTTTAAACGAGAAAAACATGTCTAAGACACAATTGACATTCAAGATAAAGTTCATTTTATTCACCCAAACCAAGAATGGTACAGACCTAGGGTTTCAAATAACATATATATTTAAGGACCGCCACATCAGACCAAAACATTATATAGACAAAGCGTCTAAAATTGTGGGAACGCCACTTTTTTATCAAACACTCATTTAATGTTGATGATATAAAGATTTAAGTTGTATATGATGTATGTTATATTACGATGTTACTGTTTATAATTATAGTAGACAGTATATTTGTGTCTTTACTATAAAATAAACACCAAACATCACCCTATTGTAAAAAAAAGTAAAAAGTCGTTCATGTACGGACTATACAACTTCTGGATGCACAAGATTCCCAATCGTTTATTTAAAAATATATCATCAAAAAATTTTGAAATACATATTTAAAATAAGAGAAAACCTTTAGTATAGGTACGGGAAATGAGACATCAATGTATTCTATTTCGTGGTCTTCTGTCGTTGCCAAATCTTCCATCATCTCACTTAGTTGGTCTACGCTACTACATTCTGTGCAGTCTAATTGTTTGCCTCCCTTATCCAGCGTTGTAACTTGCATTTTTAATGAATACCTTATTCTACACACTCTTGTTGTTGTTGCCATAATATCAGTGGGAACGATATCACTGCCGATTATGAGATTAATAATGCTTGATTTTCCAGAACTCGTTTCTCCTAATCATAACAGAAATATATAAATGCACAATACATAAGGAGAAGATAGAAAACAAACATCAATACAATTAAAAAAAACTGATTTTTTTCTTATCCAGAACAAAGCTTGTTGACTAGATCTGAGAATTTTTGTCGACCTTTCAAACTAGTTTCTTTTTTTTAAGGGAGCGAAAAAGCATATTTTGCAAAGGAACATAGGCAAAAAATGTTTTTGTTACTTTTACATTTGACCAAATGTGCTGGCTTTCATGTCTGCTAGAAATAATAAACAATGACTAATAAACCTGAAGTGTGACAACAACAAGGCCAAACATTCAGATATTTCAACTTCTTCTTAAGTATATAATAGTATGGTATAACAATGCCAAAGATATTGATTAATAACCATTGAGTTACCAGCAATCACGACTGCACAGTCTGTCTTTGACAAATCCTCTATTCTCAATTCCAGCTGCTTATTTATGTTATTCATTGTGTGTGAGTCTTTTCGAATGTGACAGTCAAAAGCTTCTTGATCTACTAACGTCTGGATAGATTTGATAACATCCACTATCTCACCTTGAAGACAATCGTAGCTGCAAACGTTCCTGTTATATAAATGTGAATATATGGAAATCAAAATAATTTGAGAACAAGTTGTACTCTCTCTCTCTCTCTCTCTCTCTCTCTCTCTCTCTCTCTCTCTCTCTCTCTCTCTCTCTCTCTCTCTCTGTCTTTCTCTCTTCTTTGAACTTTTCATATTGACGTACACATTGATTTATGATTGAGTAACTCTCTACCTAGTCTTTTTTTTTTAAGAGTTTCTCGATCTGTAGAGACGACTTTAAAAGATTGGAAGGGAGATGAAAAATAAAGGTGAATAGAATTAGGGAGTGAAAGTTTGGCGATTGATTGATGCTGGCAATTGACGAAACTCTTTTCAACCGTTCACATATTTTTTCGGGCAGTGATCTTTAATGTTTTGATGAAAAATTTAAAATCATTAAGCTAATATTTTGCCTCTAAATTACTGCACATGAATCCTGGCTTTTCTATTTAGCAAAGAGGAAAAAGGCTTAATATTTAGACTATGAGATTTCTTTTATTTCTATAATTGATTAAAATTGCTGAGTGAAATATCGGGATTTAAATGCATAAAAATATTTGGTGAGAACAATTGGATTGTATTGAAAATTACTATCATAAAATTAAGATTGATCGTTTGAGTGCTTTATTGATGCTGGAAGCTGCGACGTATAAAGGCAAAGCTGCATGACGGTTTTGAGTTCATATATGTACCAAAAAATTTCAATGTCTTCGTTCGAGATAAAATTACAAATAGTCAATATTATAGTCAATATCATTTCTCCATCAATGAACTACCGGTCACGGTAGCCTAGTGGTAAAGCGTTCGCTTCGTGATCGGGGGGCCTGGGTTCGATTCTTGTTTACGGCGCTGCGTCATACCTAAGATGTAAACAAAGGTAGTGTCTGTTCCTTCGCCAAGCGCTCGGCACTATAGAAGTGAAAGTCACGGGTCTTTCGGATATAACATTGAAATCGTATGTGCCGTGCGAGGGTAGGCGCTGGCACGATAAAGAACCCTTACTCCTCAAATTTGGTCTAAATTTTAAGCCCTTCACCGGCATATGGTGACGTCTCCATATGAGTAAAAAATTCTCAAGAGGGACGTTAAACAACATACAATCAATCAATGAACTGGTTCATTGATAGGCGCCGCTAAAAAAAATCACGTGCAGGGTGGATAAATAAGAGACAAGAATCGGGGCTTGTAGCACGTGGATTGGCAGATCTATACCATGTAAATATAAGGAGTAACCGTAAGATTTTTCAATTTCATGATTATTATCAATCGATTGGCTTGCGTGATAATTTTATGCATAAATGCCTTCGGCGTTTTCGGCATTCATGTTAATTATCACGCAATTTATTCGATTGATCAACTTCATGAAATCGAAAATTAAGAGAGCTATCCCTTAAATACAAACTGTAAAAGCTTTATGAAAAAGCTTTCAACAAACTGACACTGTTCAGTACAATCAATTGTACAATACGTCGCCAAGTTATGTACATATGTATATTTGTAAAGTTGTAGTAATGATTTCCATTTGGATTTCGTATCAACTGAACACATTCGACAAGTTCTAGTACTGTAAAAACAAATTGTGAGAAGCCAATACTCGTAATTAAATCTTTATTATATTTTTTTTGCACACTCTTTACTTTATTGCGAGTTAAACATGTTAATAAAGAAAGTTAAATGTAAACCGATTTTTGGGGGGCATAGTCTTTGTTACAAGACAAGTCGAGAGATCTTATCTGCTGCTGTGAGGGTCATGCTTGAGTTATTCTTTGTGCCAGAGAACCTTATATTGACGACTGGAATATTCAATACCGCCAATTATGTAGAGGGAACGTTTAGGTTCAAGGGGCATTAAAATATATTGAAGAATCGATCTGGTGAAATTGTAGAGCAATTAAACCTGCACTTGCCACAACAAGAAGACCATGTACGTCAACACCTCTTGTTCTTCATACACACAATCTAACCAAACATTTCTGTTCAAACTGTTTTCATTATGTAAACTAAAATGTTAAATAAAACTTACCAAGCTATTTAATTCTGGTTTTAGCGCTGACAAAGTAAGAATCATTTATTTCAAATAGATTACCTTTCATGTGAAGCTTTTAAGTCAATATAATAAAAAGTTTTTGTTGTATTTACTAGTTGAAGAGAGGAAGTGTATTTGTGTACTTAGTAAAATAAAGATCGTTTTGATCAATTTTTACTCTTACACATGTACATGCAAAGTTTGAAATACAAAGAGTGTGTTTGAATACCTCATTTGTTAACTATTGTGTTTGATTTCACTGATTTGCTATGACAGTTTTTCAAGGAGTCTCAAGTCTTTAGCTTTACTTAATGTTAAAAAATGGCAAACAATTTGAAATTTAAAAAAATGCTTAAAAATTTTAATACATTTAGCAAATCATTACCAGAAGTCGCTACCGCTATGCAAATCATCTAGTTCTCGTTTATATATGCAAGTCTCCTCCTTTATTTCCTCTCTTCCTTGTGTGTCGGTGTCATCTTTCACATCTAATTTCCCTGCAATATCTTTCTCTGGAATGCTATCCATAACTGTATTTCCCCAATTCTTAAAAAAAGTAGATAAATGATTTCAATGCGGTAGCATGTTTCACGAAATATGTCTATGTTTCAAGTCTGTGTGATTCGCACGCCAATAACTCACAAAAAAAGTTTAAACGTTCCTTGGTTAAACTACATAACTTTCTGTATACATGATTAGAAACCTATTATTAGGTCTTTCCTTCTTTCTGTGGATATACCTATTGAAATTCCTCTGTTTATTATTATTTTTCTTCCGCTGATTTTTTGTTTCGAGGTTTATCGAAATGATTTTTTTTTTCATCGTAAAGGTCATTGAAAGTTATGGAAAGATTTGACGCCTTTACTGTGAACAATGACCCTTTTCGGAGTTCTTGCCCCTTGCACGCAAAACCTTGTTATCGCTACTCCTCCAAAACCATTAACCGTATAGGTACCATACCTTCATCAATATATTTTGACTAATAGAGTACTTGTTTTATTGTATCATTGCGAAAGTATTCGTTGATCCCTTCAATTAGTTATTACCCCTGAAAGATATCGATTTTAACAAATAAAAAAAATTAAGGTCAAAGGTCAAGGTCAATAAAAAAATGAGAAATTCGGCCTTTTTAAATATCTTTTTTTTGTCTTTAAAGGTCTAGAAACTTTATCTCACTCATTAATATGTATTCTTAAAACTTTATTTTTGTTACCTAAGATTGACCCTTTTAAAACTTATTGGCCCTTGTGCAAAAACCTCGTTATCACTACTCCTTCAAAACCGCAGACTGTAGAGACGCTAAACCTTTACTTATGTCTTAAGGGTCTGAAGACACAACTTCATTGTATAAGTGCGAAATGATCTGATTACCCCTTATATGATTTATCGTCCCTTAACGCATAAGCGCTTACTATTAAACCCCACATGTATAACTTAAAATGTATGAGTATTAGAGACAGGGAGTCCATTGCAATGTGACTCTTGACCTTTGACCTTGAAGATCTGATGAAGGTCAAAGATCAAGGTCATTTCAATTTTTTTTTATTTTCTATTTTTTTCTTTACTCCAATTTTGATTTCTTTTTCATTGTATTTGATTTTAAAAACTTTCATATAAAACAAAACTATAGAACTTCAAAGAAGGTGGAAAGACCTCTTATTGTTCTGTGAACAATAAGTCTCCTAGTTTGGATTTAATTTTGTTAACTATATATACACGCAAATTCATGATGTCAACATACGACTTATTTATTACAACATGCAAGATAATTATGTTAAAATGTAGAATGTATATGTACTCCTATAAGTGAGAGCCTCAATTAACGTTAATATGCTCCTTATATACCTTGGAATCTTACATAAGAAGGTCATTTTTTTCTTTACGAGCTCGTTTCGCTTGAGAATTTTGGCAAAACATATGCGTGAAATACAAGGGTTGTCCGTAAAGTCCGTGGACAGCTTTAAAATTAAATAAATCTATTATTAACATATTTCTAATACTTAACTAAATGTTAATTGAAAAATGTAAAGAGACACTAATGGGAATCTAACAACCAAGCTAAATGATAAACGTGATGACTTTAACTTTTCTATCGGCAACTTCCCTTACTTATGCAGCAATATACCTTCATCAACTGCATACAGTATACATATATTTCTCAGTTGATTCGATATGCAAGAGCATGCTCTACGTGTGAACAATTTCTTAAGCGAGGTAAATTATTGACAAGCAAGTTGATGAAACAAGAGAGTCAGCAGTTTCGTTTAAAGTCATCATTTCGAAAGTTCCATGGTCGATACAATGACCTTGTCAGCAAATACAATTTATCATTGAATCAAACGCTCAGTGACGTTTCTCATTCAAATTGTTAGTCCATTATTTATACGCAGGTCATTCAAAAAAATACGTAGACAATGCTTCTTATCCTCATATAATTTGTAGAAGATTACATATCAACACATTTTCGTAAACAAAAATATTTATTTTATCGAAGTGTGAAGTATCATTCCATTTGATTAAATAGAACTTAAAATTTAAAACAACATGTTTTGTTACCACGGAGCACGGTTAACCAACATTGTAACGTCAAAGGCAACGTTGAAAAAGTTTTTCAAAATGATACTCATTTTCTTAACTTCAAACACGGTTTGTAGCATCTTCTCCATTCAAAAAACATATCCATAACACTTAACACCTAGTTTGCGAACAATTGTACAAATATAGCTTGAATAAGGATGTCATTGTTTTCAAATCCTTTAATTTGCCATGTAACTCTATTAATTCTGCAACAGTGAAGCACACAACACGTTCAACGACGTCCGTAACTCTTTCGACAATATTTTTAACTTTAACCTGTTTATTTGCAGACAATCCATCGTGTGATTCAAATTAGCTACCATTCAAAAATTGTATTTTTCATTTAATATAAATACACAGATTATTTTCATACAGATCCTGGATTATACAGATTTTTTAAGCCTGTAGGACAAGTTTCCCGAATGTAAAGTACAATTTTATTGCTACTTGCTGCTCCGTGACGTCCTCCAACGTCATGGTTTTTTGCTTTTTAGAATCAAGTCTATATGTATTTAGAAGCTTATATCTTTTAAATGAATATTACACATATTAAATAACCTGATTTCATTTTAATTAATACAACGATACTTTATTTAAACATGTAAATTTTATTTTGTTTCCACTCCATTTATTAGAGGTATGACTGTAAATACTATAAAGTGAAAATAAGTAAATTACTCAATTTTGACGGTGCTCCGTGACCCCATTTTTGCTACTCTAAATCCTTGGTAATTTTCATAAAAATATAGATACATTCCAATTAAGTTACTCAAATGATTTGAGACTGTTGTTAAAATATTTGTTCCAGATTATGATATGATATGACGTTCAATAAAAAAGTTAGGACAAAAGTCTACGAACTTTTTGAATGACCCTCGTACACTGAATTGACGACGGATTTTTCCATTTATTTCCTGATTATGATAATGAGCACACGGCGGATGTGACCGTTCTGCTGGAGATGCTAACTCCTCCATGGCACCTGATCCCATCTCTGATTTTTCGGAGGTCCGTGTTTGCTCTACTCTTATTTTGTATATTGTTTCATGGACTTTGAGATTGAATACTGTTCGTTATCTCCATATCCTTATTCAATTTCAAATGTTTAATTACAATTATTACTTCAGAATTTAACTTGGAATAGAGACTCGGAGCATTGCGAAATTTAAATTAAAAAGATATTGTGTTTAAATTAAAAAGATATTGTGTTCTATAATATCTGAATGACTTTTTACATTATGAGGTTGACAGATGTTATCACGTCAAACCTGCAAAATTTGAACGTTTGAAGTTTTAAAATGGCTGAGCAATCAAAGTTAGAACATAACAAAAATACACGATGTAATTAGACACAAATATGAAGTCAATAGTTTCTCCATAATACTAAGACTTACATATTTTAATTGCATTTCACACAAAAATAAATAAAAAAAATATATAAAAGATCTTAAAATTTCATTTTACGGTTCCATTTTCAGGAAAAGTGGCAATCTCGTTGTGTATAAAGCAAAAAAAAAAAAAATATATATTGATACTAAAATCCAGAAAATTCAAGATAGATATGTTTGAAAGGAAATAAAAACACAATACATCGTCAGGCCGTGCAGTTGTGGTAAGCAGACTATGACGATTGAACGCACCCGATGAATTGTAAACATTAACAATAACAGAACCCGTAACCTGTTTACTAAAACTGTGTATATAACACGAGTGTGCTAGAATTGCTAAACTCTGTAAGCAAGTCTACGTTCTACAATACTTGTGAAGGAGTTTTGCTTTCTAGCATTTCTACTCTAAATAGAATTATTTTTTCTGGACAAAAGTTTTAATATTTCTCATTAATACACAACAATATTGCAACTTTTCCCAAGGATTAAGAATAAGGTTAAAATGTGTGCAAAAATGTGTCAATCAAACCCGACAAAAATTTGAAGTTTTAATATCTTTTAAATGAACTAAGACGTTGAATTAATTTTTGTGTGAAATGCTATTAAAATATGTAAGTTGTAATATTATGGAGAAATTTGTGTCTAAGTAATTTTAAGACGGATCAGAATTGTTAATAAAAAACGACGATTTCGGAATAGATGGAGCAGTGAGCACTCTGCTTAGACATCGGAAAAATACCTTAATAGACCAATTCATTCTGTTAACAATCGGAAAAACATAATAAAAGAAGCTGTTCATTGGCATGTGATATTTTCGAACGTAAAGAACAGTTTACAGGATGACATGTGTGAAAGAAAAACCATCATTCCGATTTTGAAATGCTGTAAAAATGAATTTGTAGTAATGTGACTTTTCCGCATTTCTGTTAATTATATCGTTTTTTTTTTTCGCGGACAGAGGTTGGATGTTTGCTGCACATTAAACATGCATTATTAAATAGTATTTTACGTATGAAACCTGAGCATTTTGTGCACATTTTTAGCGATATAAGAAATGTTCTGAGTTAAACGGTGACAAATTTGATCAAAGTTACATGTACTCGCATTAAGCTATTTGACGTTGGGTAACCAAGAATTTTTGCTTTAGTACTTTGGGTATGAATGTGTGTCTTACTTGTATCTGAAAATATATAAGTATTTGTGCTTTGATTATGGTGGAAACTTGGAAATCAATAAATTGAAACATGATTTTTAAGAAAATAATAGTTTCATATATCTATCGATGTTCGTTTGTAATTACCAATGTTGTCCACGAGCTGTACGGACAATCCTGGTAAACCGTTAACGAGTAATTTTCAGGTACAAACTTGTTTGCATGGAGTATGAAAGATACAATAATTAAAGAATTTACTCATTCTGTATGCACCATTGTTCATTAACTAGAATTAATGTAATTATTTCAATTTTCCAACATAAGTACTTAAGATTTAACATCACGATAATTTTGCGGATTGCTAGTCAGAAAACGATTCTATTATTTCACAGCGGAAAATAGTTTCGTATTGTCAGATCT